GCGGCGGCGGCGGTGAAGAGGAGTGGCCGACCGCCTTTGGCGAGGCCGCCTCAAAATCTCGAACCGGAGGCGGCGGCGGCGACTCACCCGCCTCCCCACAGACGCCCCTCTACGATGAGGACACCTCACAGCCGCTGGAGGAGTTCCCGGCGCGGTACACCGGCGACGGCTGGGAGATGATGCTCCGCCACCCGGCGAAGAAGAAGCTAACGGCCAATCGCTACTGGAAGAAGGTCTGGGTGCGCTTCATCCCCGAGGGCTGCATCCTGCAGCTGTTCAATAAGCGTGAGGACGTGCAGCCCTTCCAGGAGCTGCCCCTGCAGGCCAGTTACTCGCTGTCGGAGGTGTGCGCCCAGCAGTACGACCAGTACGGGAAGATCTTCACCATCAAGGTGCAGTACATCTTCTACCGGGAGCGGGTGGGAGTGCGGCCGGGGCAGATTGCCAAGGTGATGCAAGGGCAGATCCAGTCGATGGGCGACTTTGCGCGGCTCGGAATGCCGGTGGAGCACGCGCCGCAGGTGAGCGAACTGCTCAAGATTGGCAGCCTCGACTGGGCGGAGGTGAAGCAGCTGGTGACGGCGGTGGAGGAGGCGNCCCCCAGGTGAGCGAACTCCTCAAGATTGGCAGCCTCGACTGGGCGGAGGTGAAGCAGCTGGTGACGGCGGTGGAGGAGGCGATGTTCCGCCTGGCGGTGCACCGCGACCGGGCGCTCACCTACCGCACCGAGGAGATCCAGTGCGTCGTCCAGGATGAGCTGTACGTGGAGCAGTCGAAGATTGGCGTCATCGAGAAGCAGCTGGCCAGGGTGCGCGTCTTCTTTCTCGCCTTTCTCAACGGTGAGTGGTCTGAAAGATTTAAAAATGGCGTGTTTTTTTATTGTGTTTACCCGTTCTCCTCCGCCAGGCATCCCCGCCATCGAGGTGGGCGTCAACGACCTTCGCCGGCAGGGCAAGGAGGTGGTCGGCCGGCATGACATTCTGCCCGTCGTCACCGAGGAGTGGATTCGCGTGGAGGCGCCCGAGTTTCACGCCTGCGTCCAGTCGGAGGTCTTCGAGCAGTCGCAGGTGGTGAAGCTGATTCCCCCGGACGCCTGTCACTTTGAGCTGATGCGCTTTCGGATTCGGCCGCCGAAGAACCGGGAGCTGCCGCTGCAGGTGAGCGCCTACATGAACATCACCGCCTCGAAGATGGAGCTGAAGTGCGACATTCTGGTGCCGGGCTGCATCAGTCGCAAGCACGGGCAGATTCCCTGCGAGGAGANCGCCGAAGAACCGGGAGCTGCCGCTGCAGGTGAGCGCCTACATGAACATCACCGCCTCGAAGATGGAGCTGAAGTGCGACATTCTGGTGCCGGGCTGCATCAGTCGCAAGCACGGGCAGATTCCCTGCGAGGAGATTGCCATTCGCTTTCACATACCGGAGTGCTGGATCTACTTCTTTCGCGTGGAGAAGCACTTTCGCATGGGCGCCGTGCACTCCACCAACCGGCGATCGGGCAAGCTGAAGGTAAGTGGTGTTATTAGGGGAAGGCTTTTAAATGTCGGTTCTGATTCTAATGATCATACTTTTCAGGGCTTTGACCGCTTCCTCGGCACGGCGGCCAACCCGGAGCCGCAGCTGATCGAGGTGACGGCCGGCCAGGCAAAGTACGAGCACGCATATCACTCTATCGTCTGGCGCATTCCTCGACTACCCAAGGATGGACAAGGTAAGCCATTAAAGAAGGTGGTGCACTTTGTTTTTGCAATTAATTTTTTAACTTTCTTCTTCTTCCACCCCCAGGAGCTTACACGCAGCAGTTCATGATTGTCCGCCTGCCGCTCTCCTCCTTTGACCGCATTCCCGAGACCTTCTACGACTACGTGCACGTGGAGTTTCACATGCCCTCCACCACCGTCTCCCACACGACGCTCAGATCGATCTCGATAGCGGCCGGCGGCGGGGAGAATCCGCCGGAGAAGTTTGTCCGCTACAATGCCAAGTACGAGTACAAGATTGCCCTCAGCATCACCTACGACGACAGCAAACCGGAGCCGGAGTACGTGGCCGCCGTGGCGCTCAACAATGGCTCGGTGAAGAGCAGTTCGGGGGGAGGAGGTGGTGGAACTTCGGAGACTGCTGGACAGAGCAGTGAAGATGAGGATGAGGCGGTGGTTGAGGCGGGGGCGGGGGCGGTGGCCGCAGCTGTGGAGGTCGCCGAGTAGAAGTGTGCAAATGATGAAACCGATACAGCAATACTCTCTCTCTCTCTTCTCTCTCCGTTTTTCCTTAGCAATACACAACAACCACAAGTCATTGACCAGTTGATCTGGCCCAGATGCTGATCCTGCAGAGATGTGTCCCCTGTCGAATTGATCAATTCGTCAATCCGAACTTTTTCTTCTTCTTCTAGTCCCGTCTTTTCGCCTCAAGTCTGTTGACGAAGCATTCCTCTCTTTTCCTCTCTCTCTCTCTCTCCTTCATCATCTTTTTCTCTGGTTCTTCAAGACGCCCACTGAATTAGCACACTGATCTCTCTCTCTCTACTTAACCAAACTACCTTTGAATTCCTTCTCGTCTTCTTCGCTTGTGACCTTTGCCAACTTCTTTCTCTTTCCTCTACCCACATTTCGCTCTCTCTCTCTCTTTCACCACAACCAAACACACACTCTCTTTAGCCCCCCTCTCTGGGCAGATGTTTTTGTCTTGTCTAAAGTTGTTAGCTAAATTACCTATCATACCTGCTACTGCTACATATGCAATACTATGAGATTATCAATAAAAAGATGAAGTGTACTGCTACTACTACTGCTACTACTGTCAATTTGTCTTAAAAGATAATTGGGTAAAAGTCCAGAGTGCTTCTTGTAATGATGCTCCAACGACTGAGCTTCTATCCTTGGTGTTCCTTAAAACGGCGTCCCGAATCCCGGGACTTTAGATGAGTCAAAATCTTTCAACAAAGCACGCACTTGTGCAGTTCAAAAATAGAAAAAACACGATACAGGGCGCTAGATGGCGCACT